TAGTTTTTCTTGTCACTTTGACAAGAGACCACTCACAAGACTTGGACTCATGACATGGTTCCATTCTATGTGAAAACCATTGTAATGTAGTAAATTTTGGTGACTTCTAGATGCATTTAGAGGTCATGGGTACCATGCTTTCAATCATAAATGATTTTTTAGGAATTACTTCAATAAATATACATTCCTTAATTTATTGTGTATCATCACAATGGGTTAAAACACTTATTTGACATAGATTGCAATAATTTACAAGTGTCACTCATATACCTTAGAGTGCTATGACCTCGGATGGAATGTGGTACATGTCATTCTACTACTTTATGGATATATTCCTTTGTATCCATTCTTTGATGAAAAAGTTCATAAATATGTATTTAAGGTATCAAAATGCATAAATGTCTCGATTTCAGATAAAACAATGAGATATTAAATCAATTTAAAATCTCAAACGAATATAATCTATATCAAACTTTAAGACTTAAAATAAAAGTCTAATTAGAAGTAGTAATTTCCATATATAAAAAATGGATAAATCCAACAATTAGAGAAGGTTCTTATTCTCAACATATCTAGTGGACAATCATAAACTCTTATTCTTCGGATATTATTCTTCGAGGAGAAGTGTATGTCACATTTGACCCTCTATTTATTAGGAATTCGTTTTAAAATTTATATTTTTAAATTCTATTTGGAAATTTCGTTATCCAAATAACTCTTGGGAGACTTCTTTATCCCAAAAAAATGTTATTGCATTTCGAAAAGGACATAATAACATTAAATCTCAATCGCTAGTACAAGCTAAAAGCTTTTGATTGATATAACACTTTAATGAACAATTTAATATATATACTAGTTCATTAGTATACATCTAGAGGAGCATGTGTAAAATAATGAACAATTTATTTATATAAAATAAACTGTTTCTGAAATAGCCATAAACTTTTGTGATTTAATTTTCACATGGTGTGTCGTAGTAGCATTTTAGTCATAAAAGTAGTTTCTGAAATAAGCATTAAGGGATTCAATCAAATTGATCGGTCCTCTCTTTTCTTTTCTTTTCATTTCTCTAAGAACAAATACATTATAGCATATGTTGATATATACTCATATGATGAATTGTCAATAAAATTTGTAAATCTACGTGCGAAAATTCTTTATCACACATATACTCAAGTTCTTCTGAATTTAAAGTATCAAATTCAAGTTAAATACATATAGATGAGAATAAGTGAAATCACATTTTCATGTGTGAAATTTATTTATCCTGTAAATAATTGAAAGGAGAACTTCATAATGCGCATAATGAATAATTGAATTCTGTCATTCATCGATTACATGAACAACGGTATTGCGATAACGAAGTATTGCCCGCAATTTGCATCATATTTGTATATAACTTTAAGTTGAGTAACTAGGAGAATGTCTTTAAAATCCAAAGATGAATACGGAAATATATTTTATCATTAATGAAAAGTTCAGTGGTGCTACTCAATATTTTATGACTATAAAATGTCATATTTACGTAAAAATTACGTAAAAATAATACAATCATGAGTACATGCATGAAAGTCATATGTACATAATTTCTCTATCACACAAAAATTACCCCGTATAATAATAATCAAATGTGATTGATCGACGAGGTTTTCTTTCAGAGGCATCATTTGGGATACACCGTACAATTTAGTTCTTAAAAATTCAAAAAAAATCAGTGTAACATATTCACAATGTATGTTATAACAAGTGTGAGCACATAACGAGAATATCCAAATAAATGAATGCCAATCGAGACATATGACAAAAAGAAAAATATATAACTGGATTTCTATTTATATGGGTATAAACATATCATGTGAACATGGGTACACACTGAGCACTTTTATAATTGTTCACATCATAATTTGGGTGTTCCACTCACTCTGAAAAAAGTTATAAATTCGACCAAAAAAGGGGGGGAAACGTAGGCTTCAGAATTATACGGAGCACTTCATATTTTATTAGGTAAAGAGAATTAAGATTGCCAACATTTCTAGAGAAAATCTGTTTATTGAATTAAAACATGGCGTTTAATAACCCTTTTTTTAGATAGTTTATTCGTGAAACTAATTACAACAATAAGTTAATTATAATCAACTAAACAATAAAGTAAATATTTATGCATATGATAGTAAAAAAAATTGAATAGAAAACAGAGGCAGACAAAATCGGCATGTTAATCCTTAATTTTTTTTTTAACTTATAAACAAAAAGAGGAAGACTGACCTTTTTTGGCTTTTGCATATGCATTTTCTGTAAAACAATCCTGGAAATGGTTGGCTTACCAGAGTTTGATGTAGTGGATCAGCACTCATTCATCGTTCTTGGCTTCACTTCACAACTAAGGGAAGGGGACGAACGGTGAATACTTACTATCAAGAGGCGACATATTTCTTCTTTGATGATGAGGATTGGGCGGTCAATTGAGAGGGCTGTTGGCCGAAGGGAAGGCCATTGAAGGGGGGCGGCCGATTGGGGTTGGGTCAGAAAACGGCAAAGAGAAGCTAGGGTTAGAACAACGTGCTGATAACGTGTTGTAGGGAGAATTGTTCATAGAGTTTCATTACCGAATGCCCCTATAAATAGGGATAGAATAGGGTTTACAAGTACGGGTCAACAGGCCCAAATTACATAGTATACATAGAAATGACCCTAATACATATTCTATATAAACCATAGCACACTTCATACAATTTCCTTCAACAATGTTTAAATTTTTCTTCAAATGTGACTAAAAGTCATTTATCCCTTACATTTATTTTTTAATATTCCTTTTATACATTTGTAGCCACCAGCACCTCCGGACCCGACCCTAGCACCACCGCTGCCGCAGACACCGCCGCCAGTCACTATCTTAGTGACTCCGGCCAAAGTGACTCCGGCCACAGTGACAGCCCCACCGGCATAGTGACTGCCCCACCGGCTACAATGGCCCCACTGCCGCACCGGTCACGGTGACTACCCCATCGCCACGACGACTGCCCCACCGGCCACATTGACTGCTACCCATAGTGACACTCCGTCCCATAGTTACTTCCCGCCCAAAGTGACACACTGTCCCAGCCACATAGTAACCATCCCCCTCAACCAACCACAGATATTTTTAAAGTGTTGGAATATTATCGGATATCGGATCGGATTTCGAATATTTCAGTTATATGTATGTGTGTGTGTGTGTATTGAAACAAAATTGGATAATAAAACACATTATAATTGGATAATTAAAGTATTGGAATGCCACTTTGACAAAAATTGTACACACTAATACTACACATTCAAATTATACAAATACTTTAAAATAAATTGCACAAATAATTATACAAATAATTGAACACAAGTATTAATTTAACATATTCAAAGTACACACTACACAATTTAATATATTTCGGGTATTTTGGTTATATTAAAACACATTATAATTGGAAATTTAAAGTGTTGGAATGCCACTTAGACAAAAATTATACACACTAGTTCACTACACATTCAAATTACACAAATAATTTAACACAAATTGCACAAATAATTACACAAATAATTGAACACAAGTATTAATTTAACATATTCAAAGTACACACTACATAATTTAATATATTTCGGATATTTCGAGCGGGTCGGGTTGGGATTTTACAAACCCTACCCGCCACCCGGTCTAGGCCCAATACTAATCGGATTTTTTGGTTTCGGATTTTCAGGTCAGATATCCATATTCAATCGGGTATTATCCGAAATAAACTTCGGGTTTTGCGGGTCGGTTCGGGTTTTGCTCAGCCCTATATCCTCAAACCACCGTATATTTTTCACAGTGGCGTCTATATATTTCACCGTATATCCTTAAATGCCTTGGGCCTCACTTGCCAATATAGCCTCAAAAATAAAATAAAAAACCTTTTACTATTAATAAAACTTAATAAATTCAGGTTTAATTTGGACTCCAACCAGGGACGGATCCAGGATTTCGAGTCAAGGGGGGCAAAAATTTTTCGTTAGTGTAGGGAGCAAAAACAATTCGCTAGTGTAGCGGGGAAAAAAAATTTCCGCTAATGTAGCGGGGCAAATTTTTTTCACTAGTATAACGAGACGAATTTTTTTCACTATTGTAGGGCTCCGTGACTAATTTTTTTTCAAAAAAAAAATCATTAGTACATATACGATAACATTTAAATCTATTACATTTTAAGTTTAGATAATGAAAAAATAACTTTAATTTTGTAATCGTGAATGCTCTAGAAAAAGTACCGATACATTAAAGCATAAGAAATTGCAAATCAAAGGAAATTTATTTGAAAATAGAAAAGGATATATAACATTTTGTCGAATTATTTGAAGGTTAAAAATTTGAAAGGTAATTAAACATCAATCGATGCCTTTTAAATAACTTATGTTTTGTTTAACCACATGAATCTTATCGGAATAAAGAAATGATTTTTGAATTGTAGCTTTTGTCTACCAAGGAGGGTGTTCATGGGTCACGAGAAGTTTTTTTAAATATTACAATAGTATGTATGAGATTATTATCTTTAGAATAATATTATATATAGTATTGTTAATTCATATATATGTATATTTGTATTAATGCTAAAATACATTAAAGTTTATTATTTATGCAATAAATTTCTTTTAAAAAGCAAGAAGTAAATGAATTGTATAATTTAATGTCAACAAACATTTATATTTTGGATTCACTTCACATGATTTAAAACTGTTTAACTAGTGTGTCTGGTATTTAATATCATTTGTTCTTTTACAAAATTTAAAACTAATTATCTATAAAGATAATTAAATATTACAAAACCTAGGAATTTTTATATAATAGGTACCTTAAGTCTTAAACTATCTAATTTATTTTAGATCTTACTTCTTTTAAATCTCCAATTAAGTATTACACTATGTAAGACTATATATTAACTTTGAAAACTAAAAGTCAAGGGGGACAAAAACATATATATCTAATTAAAGTATGAAAATTTTATGAAAATACTACATATATAGTAGAAAATTTTGAAAGTCCAAGGGGGGCGGTCACCCCCCGCCCCCCCTAAATCCGTCCCTGACTCCAACCCTCTGCATCCAGTTAAGTGGGCTACGAACCACAGAACACGAACTGACGGATTGCTACTTGCGCTGCTGGTCTGCTGCGTGACGCGGTGTCTTGGTGCCGCCGTGTTGTCTGTGCTAAAGTGAGAAAAGGATTTGAGAATAAGCCTTGATTTCATTATGTGGGAGGTGTCCCATATTTAAACAATACTTGGTGACTCCCATGTGAAGCGTGTTCCTACGTACATAATAATTGAACAGTAATAAACCTAATAATAATAGAACTAAACATGTACATGTCAGATACATTAATTTCGTACATCCCCCCTCAAGTTGGAGCATGAGGATTAAGAACGCCCAACTTGGATAGTAAATATGTAAATTGCTGAGATCCAAGCGCTTTGGTAAAAATGTCCGCCACTTGTTTGTTAGTAGGAATATGTTGCGGAGAAATCAGCCCTGCCTGAACATGATCGCGGATAAAATGACAATCAATTTCAATATGTTTCGTTCGTTCATGAAAAACTGGATTCGAAGCAATGTGAAGAGCAGCCCGATTGTAGCAATAAAGTGGTATTGATTGAGAATGTGAAACTCCAAGAGAACATAGAAGACTTTTGAGCCAGATGAGTTCACAAGTTACCGATGCCATTGATCGATATTCGGCCTCAGCAGAAGAACGAGATACGGCGTGTTGTTTTTTCGTTTTCCATGCAATGGGGGACTGCCCCAGCCGAATGAAAAAACCCGTAAGCGACCGTCGTGTGATCGGGCAACCAGCCCAGTCGGAATCACAATATCCGGAGAGTGTGAGGTCTTGATTGGTAGATAATAATATGCCTTGACCCGGTGTATTCTTGAGATAACGAAGCACTCTAAGAGTGGCTTCCCAGTGAGCTACTCGGGGTTGTTGCATGAATTGAGCCAGAATGTGAACAGCGTAGCTAATATCTGGACGGGTCAAATTTAGATAAATGAGTTTACCGATTATACGACGATATCGATCAGGCTCATCAAATAAAGGGCTAGTGTCTAAAGCTAGACGTTGATTTTGCTCCATTGGAAATGTGGCGGGCTTGGCACCCGTCAAACCGGTTTCACTCAAAAGATCCAAAACATATTTTCTCTGGGAAAGAAAAATCCCTGATGAATTTCGTGCTACCTCTATCCCAAGGAAATATTTAAGATGACCAAGATCTTTAATGGGAAAGCACTGTCCAAGAAACTTTTTGAGCCATGTAATTGTAGTTGGGTTCGAACCGGTGATTAATAGATCATCCACGTAAACCAGAACACAAAGAGAGTCATTCTCACTGTGTAAGGTAAAAAGTGAATAATTAGCATATGATTGGGAGAATCCGAAGGACTTTAGTGCCATGGTTAATTTGTGGAACTAACATCGTGGAGCCTGTCGCAGACCGTATAGGGACCAGTTTAAACGACAAACCAGTCCTGGACGAGAAGCCTTAAAACCCGGAGGGAGGTGCATGTACACCTCATCTGTAAGATCTCCATGTAAGAAGGCATTATCCACATCCTTCTGGTGTAATTCCCAACCACGAGATGCGGCAACTGCTAAAATAGTACGAACAGTTACCATTTTAGCAACTGGAGCAAAAGTCTCGTGATAATCAATGCCCTCCACCTGATGATTTCCACATATTACAAGACGAGCTTTATAACGTTCCACAGTCCCGTTACTATGATATTTGATTTTAAAAACCCATTTAGAGCGGATAGCAATTTTGGTGGGAGGCAATATTGTTAAAGTCCAGGTTTCTGTACGTTCCAAGGCATCAATTTCTTTTTGCATTGCTACTTTCCACCTCTCATCTTTAATAGCCTCACGATAGGTAGATGGTTCTGTGTCAGAGGAGATAGCTGCAAGAAATGCTCGATGGGGCAATGAGAATTTGTCATTATTTACATAATAAGTTAAAGGATAAAGGATACCTGAGGTGGCCGAAGGAGAGGTGGTGGCGTGGTGATTTACTTGGGCTGTGTTGGTACAAAAATAATCTTGCAATCGAATTGGGGGAACACGTTCACGTAGTCCACGCCGAAGAGGAGGCTCGCCCACTGTATTATTATCCATGGTAGGCTCGTGACTTGATGGCAGAGTAGTGGGGGTAAGTGTGGGTTCCATAGTGGATGAAACAAGGGATTGATTTTGTGAGCAAGATGATGCTGGAGCGTTATGGCAATTTTGGCAGTATATGTGGGAGTCATATGATTAAGTGGTGATGAGTCATTAGGTGAGGAGGGTGGATCATGCATGTGACCAGGAGAAGATGCATGCATATTATTTGTGAGGAGGGTGGATCATGCATGTGACCAGGAGAAGATGCATGCATATTATTTTCTGGAGAAGCCAAAATTGTAAGTGGGTGGGAAATTTCCTTTCTCCCATGTGAATTATCAGTGGCCGCACATGGGATATTTGGGTGGTGAGCAACATTATCCTCATCAAAATCTGTCCCATTACTAAACAAAAAAGGCTGGAAACTTAGAATGGGGTATGGGTTAGTAGGCACCTTGGAGAGAGATTCCGCAAACGGAAAAACGGATTCACCAAACCGAACATCACGAGAGATAAAATGGCGTTGTGTTTCAAGATTGAATATTTTCCAACCTTTAGTAGTATAAGAATAACCCAGAAAAACACATCGTTGACTATGAGGAGCAAATTTATCTTTGTCACGATACTTTTGATGGACGTAGCAGAGGGAACCAAAAATACGAAGATGGTCATATGAAGGACGCTGCCCATATAAAAGTTCATAAGGGGATTTTCCATTGTTCAAGATTGACAGCGTCCGATTAATAAGATATCCGGCTGTAAGAATACATTCTCCCCAAAATTGTAGCGATAAATTAGCTTGAAACCGCAAAGCACAAGCAATATCTAAAATGTGACGATGTTTGCGTTCGGCCCGTCCATTTTGTTGCGGTGTATCCACACAAGATGTTTGAAATATTACTCCATTTTCTGAAAAAATGATCTTAGGGGACTGAATTCTGTACCATTTTCGCTCCGAATAATTTTAATAATTTTGTCAAATTGGGTGCGAACCATTGTAAAGAATTTTCTAAATATTAACGGGACTTCACATTTTTGCAGCCAATAAATGTACCCAAACAGCCCGTGAGAAATCATCAACAATTGTAAGAAAATAATGAGAGCCACAAGAGGAAGGCACACAGTATGGTCCCCAAACATCGCAGTGCAATAATTCAAATGATTCCGACGCCCGACTAGTGCTAAAAGGAAAAACATTGCGAGCTTGTTTGGCACGCATACAAGCATCACAAATTTTATTTTCGATGGCACATTTGCCTTTTTCATTATGAAAAACAGGTAACAAACGAATAACTTTAGATGAAGCATGACCCTGTCGTTGGTGCCACAGATGATACAAATCCAAAGTTGTTGCACTTAGAGCCCGAATTAAATTTGTACCAACAAAGTAGTAGACACCACTACGTCGTTCACCCACTCCAATCAGCGTCCTCAAATTGTGGTCCTGTATCACACAAAACTTATTAGTAAATGTAATATGACAATTTAAATCATCAATAAGTCTCCCCACAGAAAGTAAATGACATGTGAGGCCAGGGACATGCAGTACATGCGGAAGAGTTAAACATGGTCCCAATTGGAGACAACCCACATGTGAGGCCATATTAACCTCTCCATTAGGTAAGATAACCGGAATAGGCGGTATGGATTTGAGATCAGTCAAAGAAATTGGTGAACCCGTCATATGAAAAGATGCTCCTGTGTCGAGCAACCACTCAATGGAAGGAGCTGTACCTGTGAGTTTTTCAGTTTTACAGGACCTTGTACTATCATTTAGCATGCTTAAAAAATTGTTCCACTGAGTGTCAGATAGCATGGGCATAGATGCACGGTTTATGTTTGGAGTTGAAACTCCAGGAATTTCTTGAACTTTGACCACATGAACACCCAAGGAAACGGGTCCTCTACCACGACCCTGTTCGGAAGTGTTTCCCCGACCATGGCCGACTTTGTTACCATACCACCAATCGGGGTAATTCCCGGATATTTTGAAGCAATGTTTGATATCGTGACCATTTTTCTTACATAAATGGCAAACTAACTTGTCTTTGTCGGCATCCTTTGTGACACTAATAGAAGAGTCGGGGCGCATAGCAAAAGCCACAGCTTCCATGCGGATGTCCTGAGTACGGGTGACACTCCGGTGGCGTTCTTCTTGAACCACCATTTGATAAATTTTGTTGAGTGCATGAAGGGTAGTCATGCTTAGAATATTAGATCGTAGGACACCATAAATTTCACCATCAAGACCCATGAGAAACTCATGTGATTTTTCAAGCTCCACACTTTCAAGGAATTGTTTTTCAAGATTGCAAGAACACTTACCACATTTGCATTGGGGCAATATTCGGTAAGCGGCATAGTCATCCCATAGAGTTTTAAGGTGACCAAAATAGATCGTCACAGATTGGCCGGCTTGCCGACATGTGCATATAGCCTCTTTGAGCTCATGCATGCACATCGCGTCGGCAACATCAAAACGGATTTTTAAATCATCCCAAAGGTCGCGGGCATTATCCATATATGCGACATTAGAACGCAAGGGTGGGTCGATGGATGACATGAGCCACCCTACCAACATGGAATGAACGGTAAACCAATCTTCAAGGTCGTAGGTGTTTGTCGTGGGTTGAGAGATGGAACCATCCAAAAAACCAAACTTCTGTTTGGCACGGAAGGCATTTTTCATAGCGGTTGCCCATTCACGGTAGTTGGATTCTCCGCGAAGAGCGACACCACAAATATTAAGACCCGAAAATCGGAATTGTGAAGGTAATATGGAGAAGATGGGTCATTTATTTTCCGGCGAACATCCATGGTCGAGACGGATGTAGTATAAGAGACTTCATCCGTTGGGTTAGTCATTGGATAAATCTGTGTGGGGAATGATAGAAACAAGTTGGGAAGAAAAGAAAAAAAAAGATACTTTGTATAGTATTATACAGAAGTCTCTTATACCATGCTAAAGTGAGAAAAGGATTTGAGAATAAGCCTTGATTTTATTAGGCTGTCCGCAATGGTAGGGGTGAAAAACCCCAAATCTGAGGTTTTCACCCCAAATGAGCTGCAACCCAACCAATTTGTTGTATTGGAAAGTCTCATAGTGGATTAGGAGCACGGATGGAGTCGGAAGGTAAGACCCTCATTCACCCCAGGAGAGAGACAACTTACGCATGGTTGGCAGGCAGAAGAAGATAATTGATGCTAGGGCCCACTTGAAATAAATTCCTCAATATATTTTAAAGTGTTATAACTTTTTTATTTATATTATAATTTTTATGAAAAATATATCAAAATTCTTGAATTTTTATGCTCTTTCATATGACATCACTAATGTATATATAAAATTTTAAAAAAAATTTATAGAGTTTTATCAGTTGCATATTTTTAGATTTAATTTTTTCAGAAGTAAATTCAAGTGCTAAAATTATAATCTCATGGTTAAAATATTTTTATGTACATCTCTAAGTTACTTTTTTTAAAGATAGATCTGAAGTAACAAAAAAAATTGCACTCCGAATTCTTTTATTTTTACATTGAAATGTTTGACTTTTTAAATCATTATTATTGGTATAAAGACAATTATCGCATAAATGATGTGCAATAAAAAACAAAGGATTTATGCATTTAATTACAAAAAAAATATTTTCTGAGTGAATATATTGACGGTGTTGGGTGCCTGGGTTGCAGAAAAAAATTGAATTGACTGAGTGAATACGTATGAACTGGAGGGGTATTAGATTTATTGACGGGCTGGATTGCGGTTAGCCTTATGTGGAAGGTGTCCCATATTTATACAATACTTGGTGACTCCCATGTGAAGCGTGTTCCTACGTACATAAGAGCATCTTTAATGGTAGAATGTGCACGGTGCACATGTGGCATGAGAAATAGCCACATAAATATAAACAAATAAATTATCTTTCTCCTTATTTGAATGATTTTATACAATTTTGGTATGTTTTTCCCTGCAATGTCAACGACAATGTCAACATCTAGACGGTCTCCTTGATATTGTGGAGAAAAACTTACCAAAACTGTATAAAATCGCTCAAATAAGGAGAGAAAGAATTTATTTACTAATATTTATGTGGTTATCTCTCATGCCACATGTGCACCGTGCACATTCTACCATTGGAGATGCTCTAATAATTGAACATTAATAAACCTAACAATAATAGAACTAAACATGTACATGCCAGATACATTAATTCCGTACAGTCTGCGTTTCCACTTCCAGAAATCCGACCGGCGAACTGCGAACAGTGGCCGGCTAGGAGACTGGACTACCGGAGTCTGGAGGCTACTGTCCGTCACCTGTGAATCCTTTTTTCTTAATTTCTGATTTCTCTAATTTAATTTATCTCCTAAGTCCTAAATAATTAAATACATGAAGTAAGTTCTAACTTTCTACTCTAAAGATACAAGTTTTTAAATACATGAAGTAAGTTCTAACTTTCTACTCTAAAGATACAAGTTTAAACGAGTTTATGAGGGATGTCTGATGAGTATAGTCAGGAGTATTATATGGCAGTATGACACTACTGCTAAGAATAATTGAGTAATTGACCCTAGAGTATTTTATTTTATATGGGAGTAAATGGCACTAATAGTTTATTTGTTTGTGATTATTTTTCGGTAGATTCTATGGTACCCTTAAAGTACCATACCTTTGTCAACATGGACCAATAAGAATGATGCAGTTGAATTATTTAAATCTAAATTGAAAAGAATATAATGATTTGGATCAATCAACAACATGGTAGGTACGGTACCCCATTTTTTAAATGGGTGCCCAGAGTTGTCACCTTATTTTCACCTTATTTTTAATTTGTATTAACTATTGATATTATCGTTAGAGGCGTTTTTTAGCAATACCGGAAAGCGGAAATTTGACTTGGGGTGTACAAAGAGAAAGAATAAGTTGAAAAGAGATCTGGTCGTGTTAGAAATAAAGTTAGTGATGTATGTTGCATATTTTTGCATCATTCCATTTAAAAACTTATCATTATGAATATTAAAAATATTATATCGCACATTTTGAATATGTTTTTTTTCATATGGTGTTTCTTGTTCAATTTGTCTCATTTCAATATGATTTTTGTGCCGTGTATATATTTTCTATCTAGGGCCTCCGAAATTGTAAAGACGACCCTGATTTCTCATTATATTCTTTTTGCTCGAGCAATACATATATTTTGGGTTGCTCAATGTAGTGTAAACATGCTCCTATCTATTATCTATTATAATCTAAAAGCAAAATGTTTTTGGGGATGGGATTCCCGCTCAAAAATGTCACTATCAATACTTTATTTTTTTTGTGAAAATGAATACACAACAATTATCGTGCAACGAGGTGTGTAGGCTCAAATAAATATGATGTGTTCTTATGGGTTCATAACGGAGGTGGGGACTGTTTAGAATGCTTTTTTCCTATGGGTGGTTGTGGGTGGTGTGAACAGTGAATATGATTTCATGAATATTTGTTCCTCACATACAGCTTGCGTAAGAATATAGTAATGGATCACACTGTTCCAATTTCAAATCTAAGGAGAACAGTGTTCCCGCCCAGTGCTGAATCTGTTTTGATTGGTAGCTTTGGAGGTGTGCACAGTGATGTAGGTGGGATGCCCATGCTGTTTAAACCTATAAAAGCATGGCTAATGCTATGCAGTCCCACATTCATTCGCATCTGCAAGCGGAAATAAAAAAGTGAATCAAATCTCATATTTGGGTATGTAGTCTCTAATCTCTATTACGTGAGATTGACAAGTGCAAAACAACCTGGGCAATGAAAGCCAGGCCACAAGGGTGTAGAGGGAGCCTGTTCACGATGCTTTCCTGCTAGAAATCATATTCCATGATGAGGAGGTCCAGAGTTTCTAACGTTATTTTTTTAATTACATATTCAAATTTAATTTTATTCAAATTCCATGATGATATTCAAATTTTAATTGTATATTAATTCCATGATGATATTCAAATTTAAGTGTATATCACAAGAAGGATTTATTGGGTAGATGGTAGCAATGCATATAATGTATATGGATGCATATGATGTATATGAATTTCACATCACTTTTTCTGTGGATAAACCAAATAATAGATGATGATACAAGTATGTCAGTCTTGATAAAGATTGAACTATTAATTTCGATTCTTGCAAAAGACAGATAATCAGATTCTCTCCAATGCAGCCCTTAGGTTATCATATTATTTTATTCGGAGTAGATGGATAGCCATGTACATTTAAACACACATTTCAAAAGTTATCCATGTGTATGGTTTTTGGATAAGCATTCCAAACTGTGTATTTGTGCATTTATGCAGTGTAACAATTCCAAATCTTGATGTGTAAAATAGTTCTGTATGAATTATAGTCAACATGTTAAACGTTTGTTATTAATGAGTATATGTTTCTACCATTTCTCTTGACTCTGTGTACAAACAATGATCAAGATGCACAGCAGGTGCATAGCAGTTCAATCAACAGTCTTTCCTAATTAGTAATTCATATTATTGAATCGGCTAAAAATTAAATTTCAAACTGAAACACAATTCAGTGGTCAAAGGTAATGCTTACCGCCTAATGCTTCAAATGTAGTGTTCTTTTGATTCTCCCCATAAGAACTTTTTGGGATGCTTCTTCGGAAGGCGCAATACTACTACACACAGACAATATCTTCCGCAGAGCCATAGCTTTTCCCTTAAAGCAGTCAACCTGCTCCATTCAGAAATCCTAGCAATCGAAACCTCAGTCAAGTTTATGGTAGATCAGGATTACAATGAATTTCAAGTACAAACTAATTCCGAAAAACAGTAAAATTCATACAGAGAACGGAAAGAACTTTAGAATACCTCACCTCGGCAATAGAAAGCATCAAAACGCTAGGAGTCTCAAATAACCAGAGCTTCGTCATCCGTCACCGCGAGGCGAACCAGATAGCTCATTCCCT